CCTCACAACTCCACTGCAACCAACAAGCCTCAGGCTTGTCAAAGATATGACGGCTTGATACCTGTGACACAAGAAGACGTTTAAATTGTCATACACATCTGGGTTAAAGGTGACCTTCAAAGGAAGCAAAACGGTCTTGTGACCTTTTTTACTACTGTGTGATATAGAAAGACTGATAAATGCTTTTAGAAGTGTTTTATATCTTTTTTTTCCCCCACATTTTCAAGCTTAGTTTTATCTTGAAAATTCCTGAGATGAAAGGGCTAAGAAAGCAAGAATATACATGTTGAGGTGTTGAGGAGTTCGTGACCCCTTGCGGAGCTATTCCCAAAGACACAGAGTTGCTGTCAATCTCAAAATTTATTCAGCATGCTGGGCACCCTGAGCAAACTCAGAGGCCCCGAATAAAACTGTTAGAGGCGATTTATAGTTTACAGACGAGATGCGCGCGCAGGTGGGAATTTTCCACTGTGAATATCAGGTCAGTGTGGGAAAACTCTTAATTATTTCAAAACTGGTTTTTGGCTACATGTTTGTTTTGAAATGGTAACTAATAGGGAGGAAACTTGCTTCAGACTTCAAAGTGAATAGGATTCGGTCATTGCAGAGTCTTATCAGCCTGTCCTTGAAGGCTGAGTCTGCTGTAGAAGTTAACTGCTACACTATTATTTATGATCTTGTTAGTAAATTTCTAGAGGGACAGCTCAAAATTATTTTAATGTGTACTTTACATCAGGGATTAATATTTTGAAGATGTCTGTGGTAAAGATTTTGCATTTCCACCATTTGTATTTGATGTTAGGGTCAATGATTTGTATTTTGGGACACCAAACTATTTTGGGACACACTAGTCCCAAATTCTGGGGAACAAGTTCTCCAGGGAAGATCAGAGAGCAACCCCCCCCCCCCCACACAAAAAAAAAAAAAGGAAAGAAGAGGCATTAACTGTTAAAAATACTTTTTTCCTGGTCACTTTTAAGGGAGCACTGGGTAACTTCTTTAAGCCCACTGGGTATCAAAGGCAAGCGGGTGAGACAGCCTACACAGCAAAGATGGTGGGAAAAGGACTCTTCTGTCATGGGGGTAACCAAGGCAACAGTCAGAGCTTTGACAGCTTATTATTAGTGTTGAACAAGATACTACAGCTAACGAAGTGGCCATTTTGTCACTGGCAGCTAGTCAACCTCCCTCCCTTCCAGCTGGTATGTATTTGTATCATTATATTTTCCCTTGCTCTTTGCTAACTTAAGATGACAAGTCAGATACAAGGTTTGACTTTACTTGACGAGAAGCGAGTCTCTCTGATTACATATGCTGGGTATTCTCTAACACATTTTGTAGTTAGGAAGGAAAATCAAGGCCAGGCCCCGATTCTCAAGGACACCTGCTTTGAGGAAAGAAGGTCCTTTTCTCCTTTTAACTATTGTCAGCAGTAAAACGTTTTTGCACCATCTCAGTTCACATGTGGGCATGCAGTTAAACCGGCAGTACAGATGGCAATTAAGGCAGCACAGATGAAAACAGTTTTCCATTTCATTTTAAGCATATGGAAGAGCTGTCTCTAGCGCAACCATCAAGGTACGCTAAGAATAGAGGGCAGTTGCTCCGCCCCCATGAACGCCGTGCGCTTCCCGGTGCTGGGGGGCAAGGCGAGCTCCTGCATGTTGGCGGCGAGGGTGCCGAGCAATGACAAATATAGGACATAAAAGCATCTGGTTTCATATCAAGAGGACAGAGGACCAGAAAACCGTACTGTCCTCTATAAACCTGGGCGAATGGTCACCCTGGCTAGTTGTATCCTGCGCGAGTGCGATTACTGCACCATCTGACCAGTGTCTAGTGCTGGGGGCGGCTGTCACGTGGTAGGCCCAGGCCCTATTCCGGGCAGCTATCGAGGGGCTATAATATTTCTAGCAGCAGGACGCTGTCTGCTGCTGCGGCCCCCTGGACTGTCTTGTGCCAGGGTGACTAGATGTGCTAAGAGGTCGGACTAGGGGTCTGTGCAGGGCGGATTGGCTAGAAGGACGAAAGAGCAGAGCTACCGCGTACCCCAGCCCCAGGAGCCTCATCCACCCACGAAGACGAGCCAAGGCCGAGACTGAAGCCCGACTTCAACCCCCACCCCCCGGGACTCACAGGCGACCGCCTCCACCCCCGAGGGGCGGCTCCCGCGCATGCGCTCTGTGACGTTGTCGTCCTTCCAGAACGTTCTCGGCGGCGCCATCTTGTGCTGGTGGCAGCGCAGGCGGAGCAGCGGTTGGCATTGCCGGGCAGCAGAGGCTCCAGTCACAGGGCAGCCCCTCCGAGCCGTAGAGGTAGGTCTCGGGGGCTGCGGGAATGCGATCCCCTGATTCCCCGCGCGACGGTGGCGCTGTGTCTTTCTGCCCCGCTCCCCCGCCGGGCCGGCGACTGAGCGTGGGTGTTGGGGCTGGGGAGGAGGGCGCGCCGTGGCGGGTGGCTGCCGGTACCTCCTCGCCAGGCTCCTTGGGCCGGGCCGGGCGGGGAGGGACGGAGAAGAAGAGGGAGACCGCGGGTGGCCGGCTCTGCCGCCTCTCCCGGCCTCCAGCGACCGATCCCCTCCCCCGCCCGTCGCCATGTTGTGCGCGCGGAGGCGCTCAGAGACAAAATGGCTTCCGCAGCTCTCGGCGGTGAGGGAGAGGCTTGGTTCGGCCTGGCCCCCATTGGGGCGTCGGGCGCTGCTCGCCCCTGCAGCCGCGTCACGGGGGGGAGCCCGCTGGTGGTAAAGAGACCGCGGCCGGGCGGGGAAACAAGGGCAGGAGTGTTCAGGGCGCCTTTGTAAAGCGGTGCGGGCGGTGGTATTGAACGAAGCAAGTCTGCAGGGAGGGAGCGTGTGGGTGTAAGGATCCCCCCTTCCCCCGTGCCTACAGTTAAGGTGTGTTTTATCCACAGAAGCTCCGCAAACACTCATTGCATTTTTGTCAATCCTCTCCCTCCCCCCAATTTCAGTCACATTTACATTAAAACTGTATCTTAAAATTCTCCAAAGACTTGGGGGGGGGGGGGCAGTGAGGGAAGAGCACTATTACAGGCAGGTTTTCAGTTCAGTGGGTGCCTGATGCCAATCAGACTGACTAAGGGGGGACATGATACAAGGCACCAAATCTTTTAGTCTGTTTCTGTGCCAGGCCTGTTTTTTAAGCACAGAAATAACTTGGAGGGATTCTTAAAAAACAAAAACAAACCCACACCAAACCACCCAGTCATTAGGACACAGTTACTGTACCATTGTAATCCTAGCCTCTGAACCTGGGTTAGTGATTTAAACAGGTGGGCTTTTTAGATTGTGTTGCTTTTGTATTTGGGATGTAATTTTAAAGAGGGAAATGGCTTGTCTGTGACAGATGCGGCACTCCAAGCGAACTAACTATCCTGAGTGGGATGAAAAGGAAAGTTGGGATCATGGAAATTGCAGCAGCAGTCATAAGAGAAAGAGGAGATCGCATAGCAGTGTGCGGGAGAGCAAGCACTGCAAACACAGTCACTCTAAAGTTCCTGATAGGTAAAACCACTTTTAAACAACTTTTGGATTTTTAATAGCTAAGCATCCATTTTAAGAGCTTGTTTCCACCTCAGTACATACATGAGTGGGCCATCTCTTTAGGCTGTAGCTTTTTTTTAATGGTTTTTGGTTTGCAGGTATTTCAGGAGTGAAGCAGAAGAATAGTTTTGTTGTTTTGGGTTTTTTTTTGGTAAGAGCATTAGAATTAATCCAAACTTAATTCTTTTTTATTCCTAGTCACTGTGCAGAAGCCAGACCTGCAAATGAAAGAGACCATCATGAACGGCGTTATGTTGAAGAATACAGAAATGAGTACAGTCAAGTACATGAAAATGGACATCATCACAGAGACCATGAAAATGGCTATCATAACCACAGTAGCAAGTCATCGGGCCACAGTGGAAGAAGTAGTTATAAACGAAAATACAAGAGTCATCATAGTGCCTCACATCATCATGCACAGATGGTATGAGTAATTTTTAATAATTCTGTAGGACTATAACTTCTCATCTAAGTGGTAGTAGTTAAGTGTGGAAGTCCAGGGGATATTTACAATAGGATGTTCTTTCTACTACGTATTTTTCCTTGGATGAGAAGTTTCTATGACACCTAGGTGTACTTGTGGAAGCATATGATTGTTTTATCCTACAGAATAATTTTCTGAAACATCAACATTACTTTGCATGCCTTAATGTTTTATAGTGCCAAGTACTTATTCTAGTTCTAGGCAGAATCCTTCTGAGAGCCCTGAAATTTGTTTGACAGTAATTTTAACATAGTGAGAAGACAGGTTTTTGCAGTAATTAAATGAGGCTTATTGGTTTGATTTTGTTTTTTTCT